TTTCATGTTGTCCATGCCCGTGTGTTCCCAGGATTGTTTCTTCTAGATGGGAATAAAGGCATCACTCCCTGATAAGGGGGCAGAGAAAGAATTGGCAAGATTTGGGGCAAAAAAACAGTGGGGTATGTTGTGTTGGAATCTATTCATCCTGTAAAATACACTTCGGGATTCCCCCCTGCATCATATACCTAAAAAGGAAGTGGGGTTTCAATCACACATTTTTTATATCCCTTCCCATCCCTCGGCCTTTATAGACTTTCTCTGACTCCTAGAACTAACACAATTTGTTGTTTTTGCTAAACTGAAGTCAATTGAAGATAAAATGGCTTGTGCTCGGTTTGAAACAAAATGGGTTTGGGTTTTTTTTGCCACAATATCTGTAAGATTCAACATTCAAACAAATATGTGTCAGGAGATCTTGTCCAATTAACTTGACTATGGTTCAGCTGCACCTTTTACATTTATATGACAAAGTAAGTTGATGTGCAGTATCACTTGGATTAGATATTTTACTTTTCTTCAACACATTTATATACAGTACAATTATTGATTACATTCTAAATAGCATCATAACAATTTTTACAAAGATGTAACATGAGCCAATACTCCTCTCCAAATTTGTCAGTTTGAAATTTATGGTACAAAACCCATGAAGCCAAAAGGTTTAAGGGAACCAGCAGGGTAAATCCAATGACATTTGGTAAAAGTTGAATTTTAGGAAAGAGGAGATTCCTATATGATGTATTCAAACTTCCAAAATATACTAGTGGTACCTCGGTCCTTATCAGTAAGCTATTCCAGAAGATGTGCCAAATACTGAAACCAACGGGGTAAGTCATGAGAAAACCACATGACTTCTCACTTGACTCATTATTTCAGCTGGAAGAAATAGTCACAAAGTAGCCAACATCAGCAAGTTCTTCCTTGCATGTCAACTACTGGGAGAAAGATGAGACCAGGACAAGATTTCTGATTCAAAACCGTTGGATACCAAATTCGATGAGTTTTGAAGCAGTCGAGTGCCAAGGTATAGCTGTATATACTAGGTCAAATTAGAGTTAAAGCAGGGAGAAGGAAGATGCTAGCCTCTGAAATTGCGTATCAGCACACATTTTAATAAAAAGTTGGTCTTGAAAGTTTTGGGAAAAAATTCAAATGAAATAAAAACTTTATACTGAATATATACACAAGAATTCAAAAGGTCTTTTAAAAAAGCAAGTAATTGATAAATCAACTGAATTTAGCTTTCATTCACATGAGAAGTTCTGCATCTTTTAAAATTTAAAAAAACAACCCTTTTTCCATACAATCTTCCCAATAAAATAATGCTAGAGCTTAATAATGCAGTCCTTCAATTCAAACCACTGGAAGAACTACAGTATTAATCTATTGCAGAACCACCCCCATCCTATCTAATGTCATTTCTGTCTTACATTCGGCAATGAAATTGCACTAGCCACCTGGGAGACAAGGAAATCAGACTTTACAATTCTTCTTAATTTCTCAGTTCCTTTAATGCTAAATCAGGATGATTTTTAGTTCATCCACATGTAATGAGGATCACCAATTTTATAAAATGATTCCATTCTTTCTGGACAAAAAAATATATTGAGGCCACAGCTAGGTATTTATCTTACAGTGCTCCCCATTTGCTATGTGAAGAACGCTATGAGTAATGAAAAAATATGAATGGGTTTTTATTTGTTGTGTGTCATTTGTATCCACTGGTCAATCATTCAAGGTTGAGAACAGGGCAGGGAGCTTATTTTTCTCTTGACAACAGCACAACCAGTTGATAAACAGCACTGACTTTTCACAAGAAAAAGGGGAATAGTTTGGAATCATTCAGCATTTGGAATAATGGACAAGATGGCCAATTGCCAGCCGATGAAGAAAATCAACTTCATTGGTATGGTTATCATAACTGTGGAGACACTTGAAATACAGTAAGTAAAGTCCAAAGATTCTGTTTATGAGAAATTCCTTCCTATTTTTTTTTAAATGGAGTTCTGCTCCTTGTAGGGTTGATATTAAAATTCAGCCCTTTCACAGAATGCTGCACGTCTTACTAGAAATAGGCACCCTAACCCATATTACTATAATTATCACGTTAAAAGGGTGACCTGCAAATCTGGAAAACCTCTCATCAATGCTTTTTTGTTAAAGATCTTTTAAATAGAATATAACCATAGGAATATTTTTAATTTACTTATATTTTTAAATAATTGTGCAGGAAAAAAAACAAGATTAGCCAATTCAAGTAGTTTTAGTTGCGTTTTCAGTTAAAAAAAATACTAAATTCCGTTTAAGGGAATCAGCAGTTCTAGCTAGTTCATCATATGGATTCCCTGTTTCCAACTGTGTGACCTTTCATATCTGCTATCTCCTTCATTGCCTTCCTGGGAGGGGTCAAGTACAGGCTTTCCCCTTAAATATTTAGATTTAGTGTCAGGAAAAGAAAGCTTTTATTAGCATAGAGTTTTCATATTGGCTTTGCACAGACTCTGCCCCTTAAAATAGATAACTGATTCACACAAGAGGGAGCTACTTTGTAGTAAATGATACGATTCCTCTAGCTCAGGGGTTCCCAACCGGGGGTGCTCACACCCTCCTGGGGGTGTGAGACAATATTCCAGCGGGTGCAAAAACTTGGGTTTTCAAAATTATAGTGTATATGCATAATTTGTTGCTGTTATTTCGAACTTTTGTAAAAGGTGCGAGAATATATCAGAAGCGTTCTAGGGGTGCGGAGTATAGAAAAGGTTGGGAGCCACTGCTCTAGCTCAATCAGGACTATTCAAGTTAATAGCCATTCAGTTTTAGTGCAGCAGCCTTTTCCCAAGTTAATATTTGGGGGGGGGGATCACCCATAACTAAATTAACCCACTCCACTTTAAACATAAGGTCACACATTCATGTTTCAAGGTTGGTTGTGTTGCTATCATTGTCAATTCCATTTGATTAAAATCAATGGCATGGTCCATGTCTCACTTTTTTTTTTTTTTTAAAGATTGTTCAAATGAGTTCTCACTGGCCATCGCTATTGCATTGCTTAATGTACAATATTATGCATCCTGCCATAATAGTTACTAGAGCTTCTTAAATGACATTAGAAAACTTTAGTAGAGAAATTGCTCAGTGTGTATCTCGTTTTTATGAACTCTTCCATACAGATATTTAGCATTAACTATTCCTTAAAATTAGCCCTTGGGGCATATGACAATACTGGACATTTGTAGCTTAAAACCTTTTTTGAAAACCCATCATTTTCATGATTCCAAACTAATCAGGAATTAGTTTTTGTAACTTATGAAACCATATTAAAATGTTTTCAATCTCTGTATCTGTGATAAGTATTATACATACACACAGATATGCCTATTTTCAGTCAAATATTTCTAAAATACTCATTTCTGCAATTGTGGCTTATTATTTCTCTTATTACACCAACTTAAAATTGAGTTGCACTAGAGAATGGTTGGGGGATTTATTTATTTATATTAATATATATGTCGCCCCTCTCGTAAGTAAAACAACTCTGGATGGCCCTACGAATTACATCTTGGTCCTTCCAGACTTTTTCTAAGTCAGTTCTCAACATTTCTGATTACCATCTACACTGGCTGAAACCAATACCTGAAATAGAAAACTGCAATTCTTAAAAAAAAACAAAACCTTTTTTTATTTCTGTAGCTCCATTTCACTATGTTCCTATAATTTTTTCCTTGTATTCCCCAAAAATGTCTCCACTACTGGAAATAACGTTTATCATCTACATAATTTATAATATTTCCCTTTTTGAGTCAGCTTCCATAGCTAATCACATTCCGTGATTTAACTAATTGATTTATCACATTTAGAAACTATGTACCTCCCTCACTCTTGTCAGTGTATAAATTAAATAGTATGCAAAGAGCTTTCACAAGCAAGGAGACAACAGAGCAGGAAGATAATAAATATCCACACACACACACACTTCCTTCACCCCAAATCACTACAATATACTCACTTCAGGAGAAGAGGTATTTAGGATCAATTTCATAACTCAAATCCCTCTTTTAATAAAATAATAGTTATATGTCTTTCCTTTTTTCTCCCCCCTCTTGTACCATAGAGTTAGTCTTGACTCCTAATAAGAACATACATTAATCTCTGCAATTTTCCTAACGTGTTTTGGAAATGTTTGCCCTTGCCTTCTTTCTCAAGTTAAGAGAGAAAGTGTGACCCAAAGTTGGCCTTGATGCCTAAGGCAGGATAAAAACTTAGTTTTCCTCGCTCCTAGTCCAATGCCTTATATTTTAGAAAACCAATCCGCAGTTTTCCTTTATGATCCAGTAGTCACAGTTCATTGCGTTGGGTATTGAGGAAGAAAAGCAAGCTAAAATGTTGATGGAATATGATGCTCTTTGATTTTATCTGTTAGGTATTATTGAGCCTGGTTGGGCTACCTGGAGATTGTACAGTCTGACATTAAAAGCATTTTGTGAATTGGTAGTGTAACAGAACTCTTTCATTATATATATATATATATATATCAACTTGTTATTAATCCCAGGAACTCAACAATAACCAGACCTTGTTTTGAAATATGACCTACTCACCAATATTTTGCTGTGAATTATATTGATGTCAACTGTGCCTGGAAAGCACATGTCAAACTTTGACCTTTCTCAAAGTTACTTGATATGTGTGTCTACACAGCAGAAGTGCCAGAAGCAAAAGAATTCAGTGCATTGCTATTCAGTGTTTCTTAAGCTATATGACAAGACCATTACAAGTTCTCGGTAAAGCGAATGATGCAAAAACAGAAGGATGACAAAACTCTTAAACCAAATGTGATTAAAAAAAAAATAAGGCCTTGGAAAGAAGGACATTTTGAAGATGTTACATGCACAACACATGTAAAACAAGCTGTCAGTGAAAAAGTTAGAAAAATGATAAGTATAGGAGAAAATCATTCCAGATAATCTTCAAAGAAGCAGGAAATTTTTTTAATCTTAATCTGTTATCTTCCCTGAAAAATTGTCTGAAAATAAATAATACAACAAAGTTTCTCCAAACTGAAGAAGATGCTTTGTCCTCCAAAGTGATGTAAAAACAGAATTAGAATATCCTTTAGTCACAAGATCAGGTTTTTCAAAGCTTTAACTTCACAGATGTCATGATTTTCTGAACCATCCCTTTGACATTTTGTACATCTTCTTCATGCTGTAGATCAATGATTTTTTCATCCCTTTAAATGAAGAAATATTATGTAAATAATGGATGGAAAATTTAAATGGGCTAGAATTTAATCCCCTACATTCATAAATTTAGCTATGTCAACCTACTGGCTGCTGAGATGCTACATGGGGTACTGAAGCATAAATTCATTAGAGAATTTATTGTGATAATTGATTACAGCAGTTATACAGAGGTAACAAACACTTTTTCTCATTCAAAATTGCTAGGAGTCTTACTATTCAAATGCAAAGTAACAGATTTTTATTTTAAGATACAGTATTATTATCAGGAAGTTGCTTTCCTGGTTTAATTGCTGTTACAAATTATTATAAATTATTATATTTGGTTTTGTGACTTTTCTTGCTTATATTACTAGCATTAATATATATTAAGGAACTTTATATGACACTAAAAAAAAACGCTCTCCTTTTTCATGATCACCCTTGATTCTTATTCTCTGTTAATATCAACTTATACATTAGAAAGCCAAAGAATAACTTTAATCGATTACCCAGGAGTTTTTGTATTCTGGTGTTCTGTATTACCTGGTAAATCACCCTACAATTTCATGGTTAACTCTTTAGCCTATTTGACAAGAGTCATTGGCCCATTAATCTGTTAAAGTACTTCTTAATTCATTTCTGAAAAGGTTAGTTTCTCAGTCTTACCCTGCTGTCTCTCGTGAGTCCAGACTCCAGAGAAGGAGAAGGCAAATCTTCAAGATTTTAGTCAGCTTTTTTGTGTTACTATGTAATTATATAGCATATGTACAGAATTGCCAAAATAGTTCCTTCTTAGTTTTGCATTTTGTCACTTCCTAAGCTTATTGCTATTTTCATTCTATGTAAATGAAACCATTCCCCCATCCTTTGAGGATACATCTAAGTCTAATAGAGCAGTCTGATTCTATTTTTCACTTCCATATAACCTTACAAAGCAGCTGCTGTTTCATTTATTATGTGCCATTAATGCCATATGCATGTAGTACAGAATATTTTGTTCACTTAAAATGAAGCAAAGCAATATTTATTAAAATGAATATAAGCATAGGCCCTAAGCACTATGGAAAGATCCTATTCATACCCCACAAGGGATATCCCTATGGACAGGAATAAATTTTGACCCGTAAATACAACATGACTTATTTGTATTTCTATTCACTTTTGTCCATGCCCTCGATTTTAACTTGAATAACTAATGTTGTAAGCACCATCTGGGGTCTACAGTACATTTAAGTCTTTGACCATTTTGGGAACTCTTTACTAAGACAACAACAGCAATAAAAATTCTGTCTTTTCCATTAGAAGCTTCACTCTTTCTTCCTCTGCCCACCTTGATTTTTACTACTGCAGGTGCCTTAATTTTGATACCTTTCCCACAGTTCTATCTCTAATTGAATGTATACCAAAGTACAAGTAATGTTCAGCACTTCTGGTGAAATTCCAATATTAGGAATGCAGTATTTTTATTTTATTATTAAACTTATATGCCGTTCATCTCGCCAGAGGCGACTTATAATCATTCAATTAAATGTAGTCTAAAACATTAAAACAATAGAGATCTTAAATTTAAATTTTAAAGTTTGGTTAAAATAAAATTGACTGAGAGGGAGGAAGCAAAGTGTGCAAGGGGGGAAGGTGGGGTGTTATCTAATCCATTAGTCACTTCCAAAATGCCACATCATATTGGAGCCCAGGTCAGTTTTAGCACAGCCATGATCTCAAGCCCTTTTGGAAGATCGAAAGAGTAGATGCACTCTTATGTGGGTGCTATGCTGAAATTCCTTGGCAGACGACGTACCCAGCATGCCCTTCAGCCAGCATGGGTGAGGTGGGCTAGTCCCATTGGGGTGAAATGGTTCCTCAGACAACCTGAACTCATGCAATGAACAGCTTTAAAGGTGATAACCAACATCTTGAATTAGATCCAGAAGCAAACTGTTCGCAGAACAGCGGTGTAACATGGGCCACCCTAGTAGCCCCAAGAACTGCATGCGCAACTAGGTTCTGCACCAGCTGAAGCTGACAGATACTGTTCAAGGATAGTTCCAGGTAGAGTACATTGCAGTTCAAGTGTGAGATGATCAGGGCCTGAGTGACTGAGCACAGGGCTCCCGATTCAGAAAAGGGCACAACTGGTGCACAACACAAAGTTCCACAAAGGCTTTCCTAGCCATGACTGCCACCTGCTCAGCAAGCAGAATCCCCAGATTGTGTACCAGGTCTGTCTGGGATAGTATAATCCCATCCAGCACTAAAAATGACCAAGTCCTGGAATTGGAAGCTCCATCCACCTAAAGCCACTTGGTCTATATAATTGTCTACATAACCCTCAGATAGGGAACGTGTCCCCTTTTAGATGCTGCTCTTATAAATGATAATTCCCAATATTGGCTAGTACAAATGGAGAGAGAACCTTGACATTTTAGTTCAGCAAAATGGAAGTTATGGAGTAATTGATTCTAGGCATAAAAACTCACATGGACATCTCTCTCTCTCTCCCCCACACACACCCCTACAAAATAAAGGTTAACTTCTATATACAACTAGCAAATGTCTGGGCAAATATCTGTGTATAAGGGAAAAATAAAGATTATTTCAGAACAAAAAAATACAATTGAGAAATAGAACAAAAAGAAAGCAACCTCTTCTAACAAGGAGAACTGCATGTGTTCAGGGGGCAATGTTGAAAAAAGGCAAAATGGAATAAAATACTATGAAAGAAGACATAACTGGCTGATTTACAGTCTAAGCAAGAGCACTCTGAAGGACAATATTTCATTACAGACCCTGTTGTAGTGTTTAGTTCCAAGTTAGTGAATTTTCCTCACTATGGCTATCACTATGTATATTGTACTGCTAAAGATGGATTTAGAAATGTGAATTATAGCCAAACAACCATAACATGTACTAAGCTGCAGGCAAGATCAGTGTTATTGTGCTTATGTGACAAAGGAGAAAGAGTCTAGAATCTCACTGGCCTAATATAGCTTAAGGTTCCTGGATTCTGATTGCATTCTAAAAAAGTTGGTAGAGTATCTTCCTGTGTATGTTTTCTCAAAAATTATTTGTCCAAGGACAGATGAGCCATGCAAGGCTACACAACTTCTCCAGGTGTCCAAGATTCCCCTCATCCAGGTAGGGCATACATTACAGGTTTAGATGTTGAAAGAATGCCTAGATTCTAGCCTGCCTGCTGTTGGATACCAGTGTTGTTTTAGGAGCTAACCCTGCCTGTTCAACCAGTATATTTGTCAGTAAATATTATAAACTATTCAGGAATCCCCTCAAGGAAACCAAGCCCATCAGAGGCACCTTTTAGAAGTTTCAGATAAAAATAAACCCTCTTCTCAGTTAATGAAGTGCAGCAGGACTGCAGGTAGCTTTTTCCCTGATGTTGATGCAGCTACTGTTTTGCATTTGGACAGTGCAAAATATATCTTATGGAAGGTTTCCACTTCAGGTAGGACTGAAGGCCACCTGGTATTGCCTCATATAGACACATCCTTTGCTTTATGCATGAATAGGCTATCATGGGGTTTGGCCACCAGACAAGCTTTTAATACCTGAAGAATATATGTAATTATTTTGTAACTTCTAATGCTCAGAGTAATATACAAAACAACATCTTTTATCCAATACTTTATATGACACACTACGTAATTTAAATTGTATTATGCTGAAATTTGTTGTGACAGTTCAGTTAGTTCGATTCTTTTCCTTCAAGTCCTTTGACCTCTTCATCTGAATTGTTATTTAGGGAAGAGGACATCAATCCTCAGAACTCATGAAGTAGAGAACTCCACCTTTCAGAAGAGAAAGATATTAGATACGTGACACCCACAATACCTTTGGGTGGACGCTTCTGAAGTAATTTTGCAGAATCTCTTTCATAAAATGGGAGAGGTCACAAACTAGATGTACAAGAATGGCACTAAGCCAACGAAAAAGAATAAATAAAATAAAAAAACTAGACAAGGTTGCTTCTGATGTTATCCCGAATATAGAAGCATTTCTTCTTCAATACTGGTGCTATATTCGGGATAACATCAGAAACAACCTTGTCTAGATTTTTTATCTAGACAAATATATTTATTTATAGTTATATTTATATATGAAGATATACATATACACTTTTGTGTATATGTGTATGTGTGCATTTACAAATGCATATCTGTCCACTTCTCCTCCTAACCCCCTTGCTCCCACACACATACTCAAGATCCATAGGACTGTATGCTTTTCACAAAAAGCTATACCTGACACAAGATCATTACTGCAAATATAAGAAAGCTTATTTTATTTCACATAAGGTTGCCAAATGTATTCTTTTTTTGTGAAATATCTAAATTGCAAGCATTTCAGAGCCTTATATGCCATAAGAGCAAGAAGAAAAATAAATCAATGGATGATGCCATTTCTAATAGAAACCAGACCCCAAGTCTTGTTACAGATTTTAGAAAACATACAGCCTTTTTTTCTTGAAGAGCTAAATAGGACTTCTAAAAGTAAACAAAATAATAGGGATCAAGCTAGTTTAAAGCCACATGGGCTGTGCAAGATGAAAGGAAATCCTGTTAAATGGTTGAAGGCCTTTGTATTTTTTACCATTGTTTGTAAGCAGAACCTGCCAGCTACATAATAAATCCTAGATCAGGGGTGTCAAAACTACCGGCCCATGGGCCGGATGCATCATAGTGAAACCGCACCCACCCTATTGCCGGCAATGGCAAAAAAGTCACGACACGTCACATGACATTGCGAATTTAACACCCCTGCCCTAGATGGTGTGTATGCAATGCAGAACTTAGCAAGGACCATTTTACTTGTTCTTCCAGGTTTATAAATCCAGGTATTTGACTGAAAGAGGTAACTGCTGCATGGCAACCCATCAACATTTAACATTTACAACCTAGCAGGATCTAATTACCAACCACATTCAGAATCCTGCTGAGATTTTGGTAGCTGGTGAGACTAGAGAGGTGAAAGGCAAATTACTAACGTAATGTCTGGCCTGAAGATACTGCCTCAAGCCTGCTGCCATTAAAATCTGAATAAAGTCTGTGTGGGAAAGAGGAAAAGGGGTGTAGGAGATGGGTGGATAATGTAACATGAAAAATAATAGTCATGCAGGTCTGTGCTAGTTCAAAGCCTCATTAGAAGAATTACAGCTGTAACAAGAGAAGGATGGCTAAGTGGTTAAACCTGTATCTCTGTTCATAGCAAAATATATGAAAAACACCCACACAACAGTCAAACTTAATTGGGCTTATATCTTAAAACATCTGCTGCACTGCTACAGTCACTGCATTGATGCAGAGAGGCCATTCAACTTATCAGTAAATCAGAATAAGTTAACTATCCAGATTCAGGTTATACAGGGATTCCTACCAATTAACAAGCTTTGACCACAGGGCGAATGCTCCATTATGCAGGTTCTAGGAACTGGCTGAAGTGGCAGACATGGGAAGAATTATCTCAACTGAGATCAGTTCATCACAGAAAGCACTGCAGACTATTAGAAACTTGACAAAAAAGGTTTCATAATATTCATAAACCCGGAAAAGAAAGCAATAAAAAAGCACAACACTCTCATTTTTATATGCTTCCTTTCTTTGTTGATAAAATTAAGGATGACAGTAAAACATGTAAAAAAAACTAACTTCTACATGGACATACAGTGAAGAAAGAAAAATATTTTATCCCAACAAAAATATAATACTGAAAACATTCAAGTCCTCTCAAAGCAGGGCTGTATCTTTAATATTTCTAGAAAAAGCAATGCCATGTCTTGCTTTCCCAGGCATCTCGCGCTCCCAGTAAGATGTAGACTGACTTACCTCTTAATCTATGGCCATTATATTTCTTTCTTTCTATCAGTTATTGCTAATGACTGGAAAATAGCTCAGGATTTCGATGTTAAATGAAACTGTCCTACCCATTACAGAGGGGACAGGGGAAATGCAAAACCGTGACTGTGTTATTGGCAGCAGACCCCATTCTCCTCATGGGAAGCTCTAACTTCAATTCCATGGAAAACGTTACAGCTGGGAAAGTATTGCAGTTCTGTGATTAAAAAATATTTGTATATATAAGTTTCAAATTCAGTCTCTGCAAAGAGTTGGAAATGACTCCAATCTCAGCAGACAACAGTTTTCTATAAGCTTAGATTTTAAGAAAGTTTTGCAAAATGTTTTTTTAAACATTTTGCCCAAATTATACTAGGAACATATGTCATACTGTCAGCAATATGTGGTTTTACTACCACAAACTGTTGAAACATTACCACTTTCACTGCTCTAATAAACATAGCTGCCATCATAAAGTTTAGGCACAGTTTTAGGAGTGTTCTATCTAGAGAAGGCTTGAAAAACCCACATCAACAAGCAACATACAAAAGCAAAAAACAAAGCCAACTAAAATAACTGCAATTAAAGCTATGAGTTAAGTGTTGTTTAATACTTGAAGTACTTTTTAGAACTACATTAGATTACACAGTGCCTAGCTTAATAACTCATTAACTCATACGACCTATCACCTTAACCAATAAACACAGAATTATTTTTCAGTAGTCCAATAACACACAGCAGCTTTGTTAACAGAGAGAAAGAAAGGCCCCAAAACTGAGATATTAGAATGGGGACTCTCAATGGCAGGTAATAATTGCTTATTGCCTGCTTGGTACCCAGTACTACTGTGTTTCCCCGAAAATAAGACCCGGTCTTAATATTGTTTTGGCCTCCAAAAGAGGCACTAGGTCTTATTTTCGGGGTAGGTTTTATTTTTCCTTTCCCTGATAACTGTTTTGCCCTGTGGTGGCACCCTCCCCACGCCACCCCACTTGTTATGCGATCGCTTTCTGCTGCTCGCAGCAGGGCAGGATGCTACATGATGCATCACGCCAGTACCGCTACCGGTAACACAAGGCTTGGCTGGTGGGGAGGGGGAAATCTGCCTCACGCACTGTACTTACTGGTACCATGCTGCAGGCTCCCACACCGCAGCCAGACTTCCCACTTGTTCTGCGGCCGTTTTAATAGTAGGTCGCTCGCGGAAGGATGGTGCCGCTTCTGCAAGGCTTGACAGGTGGGAGATCTCCCCTACATGCTCTGCTTACTGGTACCTTGCCGTGGGAGCAAGGACTTCCATGCTGCCCCCCTTCTGCGGCTGCATTTGGCCGCTCGCGGCAGGATGGTGCCACTGCCGCAAGGCTTGGCAGGTCAGGGGGAGCTGCCCCATGTGCCTGCACCCGTTTAGGTGTGGAGCCTCTGTAGCCACTACTGCCTTTTGGCCCTGGTCAACTTCTCTGCCAGGAACCTGGAGCCCAATGTCAATCTCAGCCAGGTGGGGCAGAAGTGTCTGGATGGCTGGGAGTTCAGTCGAGAGTACTATCAGTACTGTAAGACAACATCATTGTCACCGAGGTAGGCAGGTGCATGCTGATTTTTAGGGCGGGAGGAGGGGGAAAGGAAGGGGTCTGGCAGCGTGACGGTCTCCCAAGAAATGAAGATCAATCGGGCATGGAAGATGATAGCTTAGGAGCAAAACTCAGATTCAGTCCCCGCACAGCCCGAAATTTGCTGGGTGACTTCGAGACTGCTTCTCAGGGCAGATCTGAGTGCGTTAAAGAGGCGACAGGCAGGCAGGGCAAATGCAGAATGGGCCCAGCTGCCAAGGAATGGTTGAGGCAGAAGCTGGGTTGCTCTGAAGAAGCTCCGCGGACAAGCAGAGTCCTGATCATTGCGGGGCTTCATTTCCAAAGACCCTCTGCATATGCTCCAGATAAACCGAGATCTGGGACTGAAAACGTAGTACCGGGAGCGAAGGGCTGTTCAAAGGAGGAGGAAGAAGGAGAAAATGGGAGAAGCCGAACAGGTGAGGCGCGACGGGTGTCGGGACATGGTAGGCCTGGCTGCAGGGGCCCTTCAGCAAGGTAAGCGGTTGCAGGGTGCATACGGCAGCTTCTCCTGCCTCCCCCATGCTTTGTGTCTAGCAACCAACGGTGTGAAGGAATGGGCGGGTGGCTTAAGTAGAGCTTATTTTGGGAGTAGGGCTTATATTAGGCCCAAGCCCAAAAATCAAGCTAGGTCTTATTTTCGGGGCAGGTCTTATTTTCGGGGAAACATGGTAGTCAGGTTTGGAAGGTGCAGAAAACAACAGCTACAGTATTAGCATTTTAAACAATTTGAATCATTGGTCTCTATTGATAATTTTTTTTATTCATTTTTCAGCCTTTTCTTTTGTAAAAAACACTTTTGTATGTTCGAATGCAAGATTTATCTGGAAAAACACTGCACGCAAGTTCTTACCAGCTGTTAGGGTGGTTTTAGCACTCTGAATTAGGCTGGACAATCCCACAATTCTTGAAATACCTGGGGGGGGGAAGAGGAGGAGGAGGCATGGAGAGAAGGAGAAAATAAACAGATGTTATTCTTGGGATTATTTTTTTTTAAAAGGGGTTAAACATTAAATATTCTAGAAACACATTAAACCACATTTGGCAGAATAACCAGGTGATTATCCCACCAAACACTGTATATTTTTATTTTGTTGGGGAGATTCACATGTTTACTCCAATATTTTTAATATATTACACATTATAATAAACGAATATTCAATTACTGCTCTGTGTAATGAAGTGATCTTCGCAAATAAAATTCAAGTTTTGCCCTGCAGCCAATCACAGCTATTTTCTATTTCTGATGAAATTGTTAACCATAACTTGTTATTAATTTGAAGTATTACGAGGCATGTTCTTCCCTAAGAGATCCTAGAGTAGTATATGGTTAAAAAACACTATATAGCAGCAAAGAAATAGAGAAAACTCTCTTTGGTCATTCAGTAGCCTTTGGGATTGTTATAGCCCCATGTTTGATAGTCATGGTCAAGTTGCCTCATAAGAACAGCAACGGGCTTCACTTTCCTTAATAGGAACTCATTGCATTTTACCAGCTAAAATTGCTCTCACCTGGAGGGTCTTGTGGTGGCCTGCTCGGATGGCTAATGAGAAAAAAGAAATAGAGCCAAACGTGGCAGTAAAAACCACTAAATCCCAACGGCCAAGCTCCTGCCGGTACAGGATTAGGGAAAAACTAACAGCCTGCAGGCCTGGGCCTGTTTCCTTTGACTCCAAACAAGATTAGCTCATCTAACCGCTCAAGCCCTCAACAGCACCGCATAGATAGCATAAAAAAATGCAGAAAACATGAAAGGACAAAGATGCAGGGAAGAATCTTGTGGGAACAGTGGTCTACTCAGGAGTTACTATTATTCCTAAGGAGCTCTGCACTCTAAGCAAGAATCATACACCTCAGCTGGGCTTGAAATAGTATAAAAAGCTATCCATTGAGACAGTGAACATCAGTTGGTGGTCTTGTCTTTACCTTCCTTGAATGCTGATTCAAATCACACATCTGGACCACTGAAGCTTGGTTTGACTAGCTTCTCTATTTTGACTATAGTGTGCTTAATCCCTCTGGCCAGAATCTATTTACTGTTCTATTTTAGAATTCCAAATTACAACACCTCCCAACCCCAGCATAAAGGCAATCTAATAAATGACAGCGGCCTTTACATCAAAGTTACCCAGAAAGGCAGAAAAAACAGGCTAGCAATGATTTTTGTATTAAGTCCTTTTCAGAAAAGGGTTCATGAAAGTTCATTTAAGAATCCTGAAACTGAACCAAAGGAGCTTTTTCCAAAAGGCAACTGGACTTTCTTGGATTTTTTTCTTATCTAAGAAGCTTCTTCAGTTCTGAACTGAAGCAAAATTTTTCAAAGAAAAAAACTAAGGAAGTCCAGTTGCCTTTTGGAAAAAGCACTTTTGGGACAACCATGTCCTGGATGATTGAGAATCTTCAGACACCTGAAACTGAACAATTTCCCCCCAAAGGAGACGTGTGTGACTGGATGAATGCTGTGATAGTCATCAGGATCAAGCAAATATTTCTCAGTCAGAGAAACTGGGGGCCATTGCTGTCAAACTGGCAGCAATTACTTGTAGGACCCACCCAGAAATCCCCTTCAGCTGAAACTAATTATAGTTTAATTAGTTAATCTAATTAGTCAAGAGAGTAAGAGGCAGACAGATATCTGATTAAACTTTTCCAAGCAAATTGTTCACCTCTTTGCCCTATATTAATAGAAACCATTTAATATAACCAGACTACATGGTTTGCTGGTGATCTTCCTGACAACTATGGCTGTGTTGCTTTGCAAACACCACAGTTATAGTATTTAAGATAGTGAGAAATTTAGGCTGAGAGCTGGAATTCTAAGTCCGTCACTGGACATAACTAAATCCCAAAGTCAGCCCACAAATTCAACCCTGAGGAGCTATGGGTTATTGGCTAAGACCCAATGAACAGTGAATGGGACATATCCAGTGATAGTTCTGCATATTATATAATAAGTGACTTTTGAGCCAAATCCCTTGAAATAGGGATTATTTTTTACAATAAAAGAGTTACCAAACTCAGGTTTCTAAAGAACCAGCATGTTGCCAAAAATAAGAATTCATATACTTTCAAGCACAGTGGTGTATTGTCAGGGAAAAATTGTTAAAGAGAAACAAGAGAGAACACACAACAAAATTCTCACTTTAGGATCCAGAGGTTTATTTAAATTTGACACACAGATTCAATTCTTACATTTCAACAACCTATTGCAATAAGGACCAAGTGGACTAGCGGTCATTAAGTATGACAGCTGGGCCAAGAGGCAACACCCAAATCTTTCAAGCAGGTTTTGTACCTTAGCATTGTGCCCACCTCTAGTATTCTGGTGCCACCCAGTAGCCATCCCACTTCCATCCTAGTATGTTCATAGTATGTTTAGGTGTGTGTCACGTATGTGTTTCACTTTGAGAGCGGGCAACTAAATTTCATTTTTGATGTGTGCCGTTGTGCCCACAGTAAAAAAAAAAATGACAATAAAGGTTATTTTATCTTATCTATCTTTTCTTGTTAAACACATCATCACATTTCTCGGATTTCTCCTTTGGGTCACCTCCCTGTTCTTGGAACTCATAGGGATAATTAATTTTTCCTTTTACAGTATATAGACTTATCAGAACATTAACATGGTAGGTAATCATTTTGTGTATTTAATAGACGAGTGAGATCATTCAAGTATGTTCATAATCCCGCCCCCAGGCACAAAGCTGGAAGTTCTAAGTACTTTATGGACACAACTAGCTCCCGGGTTCAGCCCACAAGTTCTGCCTGAGGAGCTGTAGTTTATTCAGGTGGCCATTGGCCAAGGCCCAATGAATGGTGCAACCAATGAATGGGACACAGCCAGTGATAGTTCTGCGTGTTCTATGGTAAGTGGTTCGTGAGCCAAATAACCCGAAAGAGGGAATCTGGAAGTAGAAATTGTAGGAAAAATATATGGAGAGAAGCTTGTTAGGCATGACTAAGCTTTGGCATAAGAGCACAGCATTTTGAATTAGTCTTTAGAGATTCTAAAATGGTCTGATACAAAAAGTATCAATTACATCATCAGCTTTGATACCACTGCTCATTTCCAGCCACATAGGGTTTTTTTTTTTATAAAAAAAATACACATCAAAGTTTAAAAACTATGCATTCTGAAACTACTATATACAAGACTGATTCTAAAACATTCATTTCTGCAAATGAATTATTAAAACCTACCTTGGTGTACCACAAATCTACAGTCAGGGTCATGGGCGATTTGTAATAAAATTTCTTCCACATCTCTGTTCTTCCCTGGAGGATCCTTGATAGAAGTTATTTTTTGCTGTAGGGTTCTTGGTAAAGCCATAAGTTGTGCAAACTGACCTTCTGGACTTTTATCTATCTAAAGATAAAAAAAGAAGCAGACATAGCTTGTTTTCCTTTAACAACAACATTGAGAATTAGCAGCCCCATCTTAAACCAAGTTGCCAGCTCACACAGGTTGTGTGCATGGAGCACTGAATTTCCTTCATGGTCCATTCATCGCATAAAAGGGCACAATGTACTATGAATATTGGTACATCCAGCCCAGTAGGAGCTGATTGATTTGACTCAAAATTGTATCTGCATTTTGAGCTAGGTCTTCATTGCCATCTGAAATTTGATGTTTTAAATATGAGACTCCAATGACTGGACCTGGGTTGTCTGCATTCAGAAATTTACTTATTTAAAGAACTTACATGGCTACCTATCTTACTAAATGAACTTAGGCTGCAACTGGTAAAAACATAAAAACACTTTCCTACTTTTCCCACCAAGGCATCAGATTCACCCATTTTTGTCCTAAGACTTTTTAAATTTTAACAAAATATAAAATACAAGGGAAAAAAAGGAAAAAGTGGGTAAGGGAAGAAACAAAATTGGGGTTGTAGAAAAAGAGAAGAAAAATATAGAAAAAGAGTAACTTCTGATTTTCTTCAGTACAGATAAAAGCATAAAATACATAAAATGATCTTAACGTTAACCATAATACATAGTACTTCTATAATCACAAACAGTTCTATCAAATCCTACAGTTAAAATTTCATCTTTCATTTTCAAGCAAAAAGTCCAAAAGTGATTTCCAAGTAGATATAAACCTAGGCAAAGTCTTTTCTTTAATCAAAGCCATCAGTTTTGCCATCTCTGCCAAATCCATTAACTTCACAATTCTGGGAATGTGTAACTCTTTCCATTTCCATACATATGAAAGTCTCACTGCCACATTAGAATCACCTATATAACTGACTCCCTGGCTCAACCCCATTCTAGTGCTATGCTCGGAGAAATAGCTAAGTCTTCCTGGCCTTCCAAAAGGCTAAATGATTAGGGAGACTTGAATTTCAGATGGAAGACTATTCTAAAGGGTTAGGTGGCTATGGAGAAGGGATGAGTCCAAGATAGTACCAGATGACAACTTCTGAGGAAAGGGACATGGAATGAGCTCACTCTATTTGGTTTCTTCTCTTCCAGACTCTTCTAGCCTTCAGGCAGTGAGCAAACACCTGAACATCATCACTTGCCTGGTGTGAAGTTGAAATATGTAACAATATCATCATCATACTGAGGATACTGGACCTATCAAATGACTCCATCCACTGGTTTCATGTAGATGTTACCTTGGAGCGGAGACAGACTGGAGCCTGAGGCACCCCACATAAAAGCCTAGGGCTGGATCTCTCTTTGCCATCAACATTTCCTGGCAATAGCCATGGAAGAAGGAGAACCTCTTCAAAACGGTGCCCCCCACTTCTAATCACCTCAGATGGTCCAGAAGCATACCATGGTTGATGGTATTGAAAGCTGTTGAAAGAAGGGCCAGGATGGGTGCATCACCCCAATCCTTTCAGAGGTCATCCACCTACATGGTTATCTACAAACCTATAGCCTCTGGGTAAGCAGAGAAAAAGATACATGATATGACAGGACAAATGAAGAGACTGTAAACAAAGGAAAATCTTAACTCTTAAGCAGATAGCCTTGGTCAATTTATAAACAGATCTTCAAAGACTGGTTTAAACATTTATAATTCAGACAGAGCTTTTTCCAATTTTGAGCAAATAATTATATCCTATTTTCTATAATCTATAATCTGCAACAGAACCATCAGGTTAAAATCTTTGCTAAATATCATCATGCAGTTGTCATTTATAGCAAAAATGCCACTCTGTTTCCAATAATTGGTCCAATAATCTGAGCAAACCCAATAAATTCATGAAACATGATTTATCTGATAAGTTAAATTTCGCTATATGAAACTTGGATTTATTTAGTCTTTGGTTAATTTGTTATAGATCTTTACCAAATATATTATCCTCATTGCTTATCTGGATTAATCATTTTTCCTAAAAACTACTGTAAATTAAACCAGGATTCATGCATCCAAGAAAGCAGAATGTAACACAGTGGTATTTTTTAAACACATTTCTGTGTGTGTGTCCAGAGTCAGGCTTGACTCCTATCAACTATCTGGACAACTGCACACAGTTTTTTGGAAGCGTTTTGTCAGTTTTCTTCCTAGGACTGAGGCAGAATGATTGCCCCAAAGTTACCTGCTAGAAGTCTGGTCTCCCTTTTCTACCTTAGTGCCTTTAACTATAACACCAAATTGAATCTCTTGAATACAACCAGACTTAGATTAACAGAATTACATTAACAGAATTACAGAATTACAATGCCTTATTCTTCCAGATTTCTTAAGTAATCAAGACTCCTGGACATGCCATGCTATGGGTGGCTTTTTATTTAACATATCACACAACTATGCAAAATAGTTTACATTTAAAAAAAAAGCAACAGGGACCTGCTTACCTCTAATATGCCCAGCTGATGCTTGTATATCACTTGAGGGCTATCTTGCAAAATGTGCCTATAGAGCTTCTGAAAATGTATCATGTTTGGTTTCACTATGTTCATAACCTTTGATTTATCTTCTCCAATGAGCATTCTGAAATCGCCTAAAGCAAAGTCAGATTATCAATATTTATATAGAAAAGCTATTTATAGAAATGTAGTTTGCCTTACAGTTAGCAAGATTTCTAATACTAGCTGCAAACTGAGATTTATAGTCTTATCCTTAGTAATTATTACAGTAAAGCAGGGGTGGGGAACTATGGCTCCTTTATGACTTATGGACTTCAACTCCCAGAATCCCTGAGTCAGCCATGTCCTTGAGCCAGAAGACCCCACTTAAAATCACTAAGTTGTGAGTCCCACACTGTGGCTTTGGAACACCTATTAGCATAGTTTATCTCCCAGATGTATTGTTTTTTTTTAAAAGTCCATCAAACACAGTAAGAACTACTTTTAGGAAAAATGCAGCTTAGGAAACTGCAGGCAGAATATTAACTGCATTTGAATTCCTCAAGAGAGCCTTGGTCAATTGGAAAAGTCATGGTGAGATGGCCTATGTCAGGGGTGTCAAACTGCCGGCCTGCGGGCTGGTTGCATCATACGGAGGCCGTACCCACCCCAGCTCCGGCAATGAAAAAAAAGTCACAATACGTCATGACACCCATGGCCTATGCGATAAAGAGAAAGACCACATTCCTATAACACCTACCAGCCTCTTCTCTAGACACATTACATTTTAACTGCCATCCTCCCCACACAGGTCAGGTATGTGGGCTGAGGATGTTGGGGTTTGTGGTCCAACAAAACATGGAAGTTTTGGGGTTGGGGCAAACTGATCTTATCAGAACGCCAGTGCCATTTTCCCCTTAAACACATTTAAAGACATTGCAGTTTGAGCATTTGTTTCAGCCAGCAGGATATGCCTTGAGCTCTCCTGAAACAAAGTCATCTGCCTGATCTGATAGGAAGAAATTCTAAAGAAGGTTTGAAGGTCCCCACCACCACCATATCCCAACATAATATACTCACTAGTTTGGAGTGCAAGAGCTTTCTTTGCAATTCCTGGGCTATTGAATTAAGAAGCTTCCATTGTAAAATACTCCCTTTAACACTCAAATGTATTACATTGAACAAAAATCTAAACATTCAACTACTTTACGCTGAAAATCAGATATGAAAGTATTTAAGAAATAAAGTAATATTGGTGCTTTCTAGCTGATAGGATACAGGCAACAAGAGACCCTCACTTGTAGAAAATAAAAGCACGCTAAGCGCAAAAGTGGGTTATGGCTGTGCACACTGGCAATATGCCCAAATTGTCCTTATTACTATGATGTGTGTGACAAATATCACATTACAGCCAATGAAACCATGCAGGGAAGCTGAGATGTAGACTAGGCTACAATGAATACAGAAAACATTTGGACTTTGGTGGTTGTGTATGAAGGTAGGAACCCATATGCTGGGGTTCCTTAATCTTGTGTTAAGTCCTGATAGGAATAATGAAAAAACCAGTGATGAGTTTGAGGAAAAGTGTGCAACTTTCTGAATAAATGTGATGGAGAAAAATTAGTCTGTTAGGTCACATAAATGCATAAGTGAGAGAACATTTGATGGTCCAAGAATAAGAATAGTGATGATAAACATCTTTTTAAAATAGATGATTGAAGTATATGTCTATTTGTAAATAGACATATGTTAAAGCAAAGAATCTAAAAGTACAAACAACCTGATAATTTATAAAAATATAAACTGACAGAAGCAGTAAAAGTTAAAAGGGCATTTTCAATGTGGGATACAATCTTATTTGGCAGATCTTGGGGGAAAAATAGTGAAGAAGAGAAAAATGGAAGAATCAAGAATCATAGGGTTGGAAGGGATCTTGAAGGTCATGTATCTAACCCCCTGACCAGTGCAAGAATCTTCATAACTTCCTGGACAAAGACTGTTTAATCTTTTCTTGAGAAACTACAAATTTAGGAGTTTAGGAATGGCCTACAAATTTAGGTCATTCCACTACTTAAAAGCTCTCACATCAGGAAAGTTTCCTTATTTCAAGTCTCAATTGAAATCAATCTCTCTCAATTCAGCCTCTATTCTTTGGTTCTTGTAAAAGTAGAAGGCATGCAAGAAGGAAAAAGATGAGTCCTGCATTTTCAGAGTGGAATGAATGGAAACTGGACAGCGTAAAAAAAAAAAAGTGGAAACTGCTTGGAATAGAATATGTTACAGAATATTACGGAAATATGAGGAGTTACATTAATGGGAAATATGGAAAAGGATGATGAAGCAAAGACACCTATGAATGAAGAAAAATATGCATATTAGAGAATACTGAAAAAAGGAGGATGAGAGAAAGTTATAGTAATACGTTAACGCATAGAAAGGGGGAAAAATTGTAGAGAATGTAGGCAGAGAAGGGCTACAAAAAAAAGAGCAAATGCAAAGAAAAATGCCAAAGGAGTATCCAGCCAAGTGAATAGAACTAAAAGTAACTGAAGCTCATACATATGAAAGATCCAGAGCACTTCTTCCTAATAGTTTGCCAAATATGCTGAGCCATCTATCATGCTAGGAAACATAAGTAAAGTTGGTCCACATCTTTCATTAACATTTACTATCTTATTTTTTTTTAAATCAATTATTGAACAATGTAAAAGCCATACTCACCACAGTACGACAATCCAGCAATCTTCATATAAAGATCTTCTTCAGAGAAACTTTCCGGCAACATGAGAAAGGCTGCCATGACAGCACTCTTCAAATTACTGGACAGGGCTTCTTGCAACTTAACATTCTCATTCTGAGCCAGAATTTTCACCTGTAATTAGTTGGAAAATTTTGGTTATCAAATAAGAGGGAAAATGATCAACAAGCCATTCATTAGAACAATCCTCTAAACCAGGCAGGTCAAACTGCCAGCCCGCAGGCCGGATGCGTCACGCCGAAAATGTGCCCACTCCATTGCGATGTCACGCAACGTCGTGAGTTTGAGATGCCTGCTCTAAAGGTTGTTTAAGGCAGAGGTTCCTAACCTTTTGGGCACCAGGGACCGATTCCGTGGAGAAAGGTTTTTCCACGGACCGGAGGGTGTGTGGTTTTGTGTGCAGCCTGCATCTCATGGATCGGGCTTTGCTTGTTTGTACGGACTAGTTGCTGGCATGCCACAGCCCGGTACCGGTCCACAGACCGGGGGTTGGGGACCCCTGGTTTAAGGGATATCTTCAGAAATTGAAGCAAATAAGTAAACAAAAAAACAGGCCCTCATCCTGAAAGCAAAAAGCTTTCCTTAGTTTAATTAAAAGGTGGGAACAGAAGGTCTATGAAACACAGCCACAATGATAATGGCCTTTGAAACCAAGGAAATGTCAATTTTTTATGAAATGATATAGAAAAATCTATAGCAGCATAATAACAGTTTATGTTTTTAAAGCTATTTTTTCAATCATAGAACTTTGCCATTTCTGTTTCAACACACATCTTCTGAGGCAGTTTCAAGCAGAAAAAAAAAGTACAATCTTGTTATGTGTGTTCATGGAAGATGACTTCTCTTACTAGGTAGATCTGACCAATATGTTGCAAGAACAAGCATTGCCTCTAACATGATCACCATTTGCTCAAAAGAAAAAAAAA